TTCACCAACTTCTTCTTGCTACGTCGGGTGGCAAGAAAACGTGATCGCACGCGATATGCCTAAAAAGGGGAAAGAACACTCGCAAAAGCTGACGCTTCAGCTCCTTCCAGGAGGAGAACCCTGCTTCAACCAAACTATCGCACGTTAGTGCCAATTCTCGTGCTCGTCCCCAGAGCCTGTAGATAGCTAGTACCACGCGCCAATGCTCGTTCTGGGGCATGCCGGATGCCAAAGCCAACTCGGCCTCTCTAACCCAAAGCAAGAAATCCTTCCCATTCTTACCCTCAAATGTCTCAACTCACCATGAGCGGCCTGGGTTGGGTGAGGTCATCTGTCGTCGACGGTGATGTCATTGACGCTGTCGATGCCGATGTCTTCTTCTCTACGTGCTCAAGTAGAGCATGTTCATAGCGTAAAAATGCTTCTAGGCGTGCGTTCATCGCTTCGGGATTTGGAAACAAGGTGCACGCCCTCATGGCCAATCGAGACATCAGCTTATTAAGCCCGTCCTGCATGCCCTGACGCAACTAGGATATTGCGCCATCCTCACAGAGGATCAGTCGAAACGACTCAGGTGTAGACTGACTACGAGTACTATCAATTGCAGCGGGACTGTCGTGGCTCTTTGTTAGAAGGGAGCGAAGCTAAGGTCACCGACCTTACGTTCTCTACCAAAATCAATATGAGTGTAGCGGATCGCAACCGCTACCTCCAAAAGTTCCCAAAACTTCAACCAAGGCAAATACACTATTTCGTCTAAAATTATCTCTGTATTGAATTGTTTTATTTGCAACAAAGCCGCCTATATCTATATCCTTAGGTTAATCTAATTAGATAGTAAAACTAATTAATATGCATAACTACTGGCAGTCCCGCCACGCAGTGGCTTCTTGTTACGGAGTAGCCACACCATTGTGTGATTACACAAACTTGTGTAGTCCACATCTTTGTACGGTCACACCATCTTGTTTGACCCACCCTTTCACAGAAGGATACGTGTAACCCCGATATACTCTGGGTATGTGTAACCCCGTTACACCTGAAATTAATATGTCTATTGTGAGTCTCGTATGGATTAAAGAGCTAGCCGTTAAAGGGCCGAAAGCGGTAATTGCTCACTTGAAGGTTTGAATCCGTTGTGAGAATGCGTTAGAGAGATAATCTAGAAACGATCCAGCCGGGCTTTATAAGAAGCGCAGATGGCGCTCATCCGTATGCCGTTAGTGGTGAGTGTCCAAATTTGCAGATACAGACACAAAAAGTTTCGGGAAAATGACGTTAGGTTATTTTTAGGTCATGCTATAGATGAATCAGATGCGCGTCGCGTTCGCCAAAATCATAGGCTGCGTGCGTGAATGAGTACAAACGTGCAATGGCTTTGTAATACAAGTATCTCCACCATTAAATGATTCTTAGCGAAAAATGTCTTAAATGATTTTATTTGGCTTCTTAACCCCGTATTCCTCTGACATCGCTACAAAATGGCCATTGTCTTGGCGGAAGGGGGGCTGTCGATACAATCTGCTCGCTTGTGTTGGCCTAATTACCTTCGCAGCAGAATCACAGATCTCATCGCAATGGTTTTTGAGCGTCATGCTTTAAGTGCGCGACACTTTGGTCGAAGGCCGGGAAGCTTAAAACCTGCTTGCGATGCAAGAGGCAAGTCACCCGCAGTTGGAGAATATGATTCATATACCGCTTTCAGCTTTCCTACATACGCTGTGATTGCGGATTTAAAAATAAGTGGGTTCTACACTGCATCGAATTGCTCACAGCTATAGCAAAAATGTACTTTTAACGTTTCGAAGAAGCTGCGGACACATTTGGTGTTTGACGTGGGTTTGCTGAAGCCATGTTGCGATCTCGCTCTTGCGAGACTACCAGATGTGAAGCATTTTTTGGAGGTAAGACAGCGTCGTTACAATCTTTGTAGCTACGCTCCCTCTGCTCTAGCTCAACAGTGTGATTTTGAGCAACGGGAAGTACGCGACAAAGTGGCTGAAATATTGTACCCAAAAAGTGACTAATCACTGATTTGGCCGAACGCCAAGGCTTTGAAGAATCGACGTGCCGCCATGACTAAGAAAGCTTAAGAACGCCAACCTGAGGTTTCCACTGCTTGATGAGCAAAAGATAACCCGCTTGAATGGGGACCGGCAGGAACAGCAGGGCTCTTACCAGTGCTTGATGAATTATAGGGATGCTCTCATGCGAAAACACACGGAAGTTTGTCGACCTACTTTAGCAAAATTGCCCTAGCGTGTGATGGGCTACACTTCGCCATTTCATAAAGGTACATCTATGTACTACCTTATGTTTGTACTGTAATAAACTATAGAATTCCAAATGCTTACGTGACATCTTATGAATATTCTGTGTGATACAGAATGCGTTTTCCTACTTGGTGATCAGTACTGGTGACGAGACTGACGTGTCTCTACCTGTATCGCAAGCCGGTCACTCCAAATGGATACTTTTCGCAAAATTTGAAGTTCGAGCTTCGAACTTCAAGCTTTGAACACCCAAGATCTTGTGTAACGCCAGGCTGAGGTTAGACCTCAGTACACCCTTTTTGTATAAATCATGAGCCTAAGGCTTTATGCGTAAAACTTCTAGGAACTCTTGGGGTGTTTTGCATGTATCTAGAAACATTAACTCATTTTAATTTTGTTGCATATTTACCTTCAAGTTGTCAAGCTGCTTCTTCTCTTGTTCAAGTTGGAAGTGTCCTTCTCCCTGCATGTCGGGAATCGCTTCCCGTCACGCTTGTGTATTGTCTCGAAGAGACTGTCATGACCAGCGCTTTCTTACATGGGGCCATTGCCGCTTATGACTTATCGCGACCTCAGCTATTTATTCCCTGGAAAAGAGACAGGTACACTCGTCGCCGCATGGTTCCTTCGAGCAACTCCTATTGCAAGCTGAATGCTTAGTTGGTATCTGTCGAATGAACAAAGCAGTATTGTCACAGCAAAAAAGTAGAGTGATATGATTCTATCTTGACGGCTGTGTCGGGCCCTTTACTTTGCAAAGTGAAACACAAAATTACGTTCTGGTCGGATATTTGCATCACTGAAATTGTATGAACGGGTGAAGTGACGTGTCTCTTCGTCCGATGCGCGAATTAAGATCAATAAATTTCATCATTTTTGCAAGCATTCACTACAGGTACGACTTTTCTTGACCGCTGCTGCTTCAACCACAGATGGTACGACCGGGACCGGTGATCTGTTAGGTTTGACGGCGCTTGTAGATCGACTTTCGGGGGCTTATTTGACTCTCTAGTTGGGCAGAAACCCTGCACGCGCAGGCATGTAAGAGCTTCACGCCGGTACTCCCGCAAGCTTTGATGAATCAAATGAAACACCACGTTATTGAGTTTGCAAAAAAATCTGCAAATCTTTTGATTACGTTGGAATCTCGAGCCCGGTCTAGCTCATTAGTGATAAGCTGGACGTACTTGAGAGCTCTGCAGCTGGGTGCCCCAACACTTTCCACCGTGGGGAATGTCGTGAATCATACAAAAAATTGGCGAACCGGAAATGACAGCTTTCCATCTGTTTAAACTTTAGACGTGTGCTGCCAGGTGAAGACAGAGTTGTCGGGTCAGGACTAGAAGGCTCGTTACGACCGTTTTCATCAAAGAGCGCCACAATCTCCTCTCCGATGTAACTAAGTCGTTGGCCGCAAAATGCACTTTTCACAATGGCTCACTGAGCCAAATGATGGAGTGGGCGGGAGAAACATTCTCGATGTCAAAATGCTTTAAGAGTAGGCACGGTAAGGTGCAATGAGCGAAATAAAACTTAAAGCTTGACAGGTGCTCGCTATGCCTTCGCTCTTGTGCAATGTCATCAAAAGACGATAATTGTGGAAGCTTTAGCGTGGTCCGCATTGCGGGGGTGAGAAGTGATAGGGTGCATACCATACTATTGAAGACATATACCTTACACTTCTGAATGATTACGCAAATGCAATATTGTACTACTGTGCGTAATTGTGAGTATCAGAAGTACTGGGGTATTGCACTTGTGACGATGGGAATCAGCAAAGGGGAGGTTCAAGGAACACACGAGCCGTTAGCCTCAGGTCAGGGGATATATATTGAATATAGCAAAGCCGATTAGCTACAAAGAGCAAGTTAAGGTATATGTCACACACGAATTGAAAAGCAACCACCAAAAGTCACTCCTCGATGAAGCGTACAAATTCGACGCTGAACATCAGTAAACACAAACTCTTATTGTCGAAGAGTTTCTGTCCTAGGTGAACGGAAATCCTGTCGTAACAATATCCCTCGCCTTAACAATACCAATCTTGGGTAGCATGAGCTTAGCTTTTAGTTCGTCGAAAAATCGTGTAAATCGTACGTAGAACATAAAATAGAAACTCCGTAGCATTAGGGTTTTGAAACAAACTAAGCAGATAAAAACAACGTTCAAAACGAAAATTAGCGGCACTTAACAGCTTGACGCGGTGAAAACAAGTGGTGTTTTGGCTCTCTACATTCTCATAGAATCTTTCAGTCATATTATTATCTTTAATTCACCGAATCATAGTTCTATGTTATTCCTGTTTTTCTGCACTAACAGTCTGTATGCAATCATCTTCTACCATGCTGATGAGGCGTCATCAACTACAGGAGTAGGCGCGATCGATATTTACGAACTATTTATGGTATTGTTTTTTTGGTTTGTTTATAATAAATAATTTTAAATCCACTAGAGTGAAAATTATCAGTAACACATCTGTATGGCTGAATTTAAGTTTTCAAATTGAAAAATAACAGTTTGCAAAGTGCAGACCGTCCAATGAAAGCATGCATTTCGTAAGAAGATGTCCGTAGCATTCATGTGTCAAGCACTGGGACACCAATACTCGTAGCAGTCTTCACACGAACTTTTAGCATATTGCTTCATCATCGCATTCGTACGGTCGACTGATGCATTCATTTCTTGAGCATTATGAGCTCTAAAGATTTCATTTGTGGAGGGAGCAAAATGCTGGTCTGGGATGCTTCAGTCTGCAATCAGCTCACAATTGTTTGAGAATTTCCTCTGGTAGTCATTGATGGGGCGTGCATTGTAGTCACTCTTTGGACGTACCAGACCAGACAGTGATCAACGATGGGGTTGGAAACGTGACTTAACACCTCAAGACCATATTCGGTGAGTAAGTTGCCCTCAAATAGTATCCAAAATTTTCTAAACGGTTACTAGCCGTGCAATGAGTACAGCAGCAGATGTATCAATCAAGACGGCCATTATGGGAAAAAAAACCTTTGCGATGCGCATATTGGATTGTGATAAGCATATCGTCTCTAACCTCTGCAGATACTGTATCTTTCGTGTTGTAATTACAAACAATTCGATGAAATAATATGCAGCGTACTTCACCAGAACTTAAGAATTCTGTACTTAAAATTCAATACAACTTTTCCTGCTTTGATAGGGAGGAGGATCTAAAAACGTGCCAATACTCATTACAGCATAACTCTAATGGCTGCAGCCGTACTTTAGTCTGAAGTTAATCGCAATTAAATTGAATCCTCATCCAGTCTTACAGAGCACTCAGATTATTTCCGATCAAGATCAAAGAAATGCCATCGTATAGACGACAACACAATCGCGTGTCAAATCTCTTTCAATAATGGATCATTTCCATGCTTGAGGTGCTCTCGAGATTTCTCTTGCCCTCCCACTCCGTCATTGTAAATTACAAAGAAATGGTCAAATGAGATTTTGTAGACGAAGAAGTGCGTCTTCTTCACAAGACTGTCACGGAGAATGTACCTCTTACAGAGTAAAAGCAGATGATAAGAGCAGTATCTGGGTGTTGACAGAGGTGTAAGAGACAAGACTTAAGGAGAACGGTCTCTTACCATAGCCACAACGAGATCTCTTACCTCGTGGTCTGTCGGATTATTGTTATTACTTGCGTAAGCTATAGAATTAAATGAAGATTTCTGGCATGGAAGTTCACCATAAAGTGGAAGTTAAAAGAAGTGAAAGTTAAAGTGCTTTTTCATTAGGAAATGACTATTGACTCGCTAGTTCATGGACATTAAATGTCAGATGCAACAAAAGAAGTACACACATGATCACTCGAATCTGACAAAACAGCTCAGCGACTTAGGTCTCTTCCTGTTCAACGTCTGGGTCGACAATCTGGCGCAGAGCATCCGGCACACAGTCAAAGTGTGGCTTGTCTTCCACAGCGTAAGGCTCAATGATACTAGTTCCGTCGTCATGAGCAGCAGCTTCTAATGCATCGCAAGCTTCCAAGAATGTCATCGTGTCCAGTTCGTCGTACGTGAGTTTTGTTGCTTCAACAAATTTCTGAATTCGGTAGCTGCGTGCAAGTTTATTGACCGTGATGTTGTCGGGCGACTGCACCAGCTCTGTGTCCACAATGTTAATGCCGATCTCCGAGTCGCTAGTCATACTACGACGGTTCCAATTGGCTGAGCCTAGTGACACATATACGTCGTCGATAATCACCAGCTTACTATGGATGTAAAGCTCTTTAGCCTCCTTGGTCGTGTACAGTTTAAACTTTTCTGGGTACGCTTTTTGGATTGGAGCGACCATGTCATACAGATATTTGGCGTATCCCGTGTATCCCGCCTCGACTGTTCGTTGTACAATCACAATAAGTCGTTCAATACTCGGCATCATTTCCATGATGGCCTCCAAGAGCTCAGGGACCAAAATAAAGTATTGATCCTGGATGAAGATATAGTTCTGTGCATTGCGAATGGCTTTAATACGTGCGTGAAAGATAGATTGTTCACCTTGCGGAGCAAACGCGTAGTGATCATAATCTGGACTAAAGGTACGGCACAACTGCACCGCGTGGGTGCCGTCTTCAGGAATGTCAAGTGGAACCCTAGCTTGGTCAATGGGTGGCAGTTTACTAAATTCAGGATTTTCAAAGTCCAAAAGGTCATCCATGAGGTCTTGAGACGGTTTCGTGTCGGAATTCCAGCGATCGAAAAAATTCTGCGCCACGTCCATAACAGCCGGACCCTCGATACGAGCGTGGGCATCCAACCATCCATTCCACCTCGCTTTAATACCCGTACGCTCACGCAGGTCAGCCTGGTCATGTTCAATCGTGTCCCAACGATCGTTGGTCAAGTCTACACCGCCTACGTACGCGACAAGATCACGCCCTTTGCGTACAATCACCGACTTTTGATGATGTGAAGACGTGGCATGAGGCAAACGATCATCGTACACGAAGCGGGCTGGGCCATGGTTTTCGGGCGGTGGCAGCGCGTTGATGAGGTCACGTACTTCATGATTTTGTGCTCGTTCAGTGATATTTGACCACACGAGCATACGCCAATCAGCTCCACGCTTAACCGCACGATCGGCCAAGTCGCATAGCTTTGTTTCAGGTTCATGTGGCTTAAAAGGCACGTTACAAGTGCCCCATCCTGTCAGATACACTACGTCTCCACGACGCACTTCCATCATATAATCGGCTACGTCGCTAAAGTACGGAGCAGACGCCACGTATAGCTTAACGCGATTTCCTTTCGTGTAAAGTTGAATGCCCTCGCGCTGATAGCCGTCGCGCGAAGTACGCAATTCTTGTTCGGTAAGGAACCAACGAGAAGGCTCAAGGTAAGGTTGGTCAAAGGGGGCTGATGCTGCCTTTTTTGGCTTCTTTTCACTTTGAAACGGATCAAGAATAAAGTGAAAGGCGCGACTTAATCCATCCATGATTACAGTGAACTAGATAAACAAGGGGGAGACTTGAAGTCGAGAGCGCAAAAGCGAGAATGAATGATCAATCAGGATCTTTGATGAAGTGATGATGGCAATAGTAGCAATTCTGGAGTATACGTGTATACTTGTCGTATAGCGTTTGGCTTGCTTGCACAGAAACCAGACGAAATGGCAACCGGATTTTTCTCAAAAAATTTAGCAAAATATGCATAAAGTGACCATTTGTTGATTCCTGATCCATATATAAATTATGTGATATTGTCTGCAATCCTCTCGACAGCAAGATATGAATATGTTTTAAATTACATATCCGTTGCGTGATGGTTTCTTTCGAGCTATCGATCTCTGCAGTCTACTTTACTTGTTGTGAGAAAGCGAACTTAACCAAAATCCCGAGACTCAACATCTTTACATTTTCGTCAATCAAAATATCTGAACGCCTTTTAATCACTCAGACACTCCGATTGAAAAAGAATAGAAAGCAGTCATACTTGTTGAAGACTATTGAGCATGAGCACGACCTCACTGGCATCAAAAGTACCGTTGTGACTCATCTTTGGAGTCTCTCTGAAAAAGGTGGTTAAGCAAATTATGAATTTTGATACATACTGACAAATGCAAAGATGATTGGCTCAAAAGTTGTCCCAAAGATGACGCGAATTTAATACCGTAAAGCTTGCTGTCCGGTACTTCCGATGTCGCTTCCACCGTCACTTGGAGTTTTGAAGCTCAAAGTTATGAGTTTCACGACTGCCATAGGCAATTCCTTCCTGTGATACACGAAAATCCTTGCCAAGTAGTCGTAATTTCTTATACAATAGACTTTGTGCAACATTTTAAATTTGTGTGCGCGTGGTGTTTTTAATCACTGTAACGGTATTGTTCATACGTCGGAATTTTCTAACTAGGATTTTCGAATACCCAGGCGAAGATTCATACACGAGCTTTTCTACCATTTTGTGCTCCTCCCTTCAGTCCTTCAGTTTGGTGTTGATATTGTCTATTGCAAAATATGGTGGCTATGATGGGGTATGAACGGTACTACACGATAGTACATTCACTACACTTCATCACAGAAATCCACAATCGTGTGAGTTGTAAACTTTACATCTGGCTCTAAAGATAGTACTCCTGCTAATTTAATTAGATCGTTTACATCGAATATGAGTTTAGATGGAATTAATCCTACGTAAATTAGCAGAGCAAGCTTGGCAACCAGTCGCAAGAGATACTTTTGATTCTACTCCTAAGTGAGGCGTTCGATGTCAACCTATGTGCGCTTTTCAAGGTGGAATCTTGGAGTCGAAGCTTTCTCGGTGCAAAGTGCATGGCAACCCCGTTGCATTTGCTAACATATCACAAACGAATCTGCCCGCGGGCCGGCTAGTGACACCTCGGTCCGGAGGTAGGACCGAAGGCGGGTCTTTGGAGACGATGTCTTGTATTCCTTCACCCAATGATAATACGGATCCAAGGGATTCCGTAGGATCGACGGTCCACTCCGTGCGTTCAGCACTCTCTTGGTATCTTCCCAGACAGCTTCATCCAGAAGCAATGACGAGTTTATCTCCTCGTCCGGTCGTACAATGACCACTTCGGCCAAATAACCTGCCTTCAAGGCACTGCCGCACTTTTCAAGAGTACATCTTGTCCAGCTCAAGAAGAGCATCTACTGCAGGCATAGCCTAGAGGCGGCCGTCGCCATCTTCCTCCCCCGTCATGCCGTTGACGATGGTGTATAACTGTGCACCGTCGTCTACGGTGGATTAGAGTCGACGCCTGGCGTCTTGCAGCCAGCATACGACGTCGCCGTCGCCTCTGTACAGTGATTCTATGTCTCGGTGAGACCAGGGTGAACACGAACTCCGCGTTGTCCGTTGTCACCTTCACTTTCCGCTCCTTCGGAGCTCCGATGTACTCTACAACATCCGACGAAGAACTATTGACCCCGCAGTCTTCGTCTAGTGGATAACGTGCCACCCCACGCACATCTGAAGGGCCGTGCCCAAGATGCCTCGGACTCTGTCCGACTATGCTATCAATGGCATGTAGCGACTGCTTCGCAACGAGAGCAGCGCTCAGTGGTTCTCGTGCAACTCCACGCGCATCACGAGGGCCTCGCCCTCGATGCCTCGGTCTTTGACCGACCATGTCACGCATGACATGCAGCGACTGTTTTGAAAATTGAGCAGCGCTCAGTGGCTTACGTGCCACTTCACGTACATCACGGGGGTCTCGCCCTCGATGCCTCGGTCCTCGGCCGTCTATGTAACGCATGACATGCAGCGA